CTTAATAATTAATTATCTTCAACTTTCTATTAATAATCACGTCTCATCAGAAACACCAGAGTTAGAAATCTTTAAGAAATATGTAAAATGAAAAAAGACAAAAATGAGACCGAATTGAAAAAAAAAATGTCAACGTGCAAAGAGTTTTCATTTTCAAGGGAGGAAAAGGGAGATTGTAGAAAAAAATGGTATACTTCGCAGAAACTTATACGTCTTTTATATCTTTTCCATAAGCGTACATAAGTGAAATTGTATCGATGTAAGCGTACCTATATATTTTATGAGCGAGCTCAAAGCTGCGGTGTCTTCGGAAAATGGAGTTCTCCAACGATCTTAGCTTTTACAGAAAGAGGAGAAGGTGAATGCCGCTAGTGGGCTGGTCAGGCCACAGCACCGCCCCTTGACTCTCGACTTACTTTTGCCATCTTGCCTCCGATTCTGCGGTTAGCCCCACTTCGACCAGAAACCAGGGAAGCCGGCTTGTATCCGTCGGTTGCAAACCGGACTCGCAGATCGGGCATAATATACGAAGCGCATCAGATGTTTTTTGTCGCGTTTTTTATCGATACGCGTCTAATCATGTCCAATGAAGAGTTTTTTTAAAAATTGCGTATCAGCTTCAAATGTGAATACTTTACATTAATGTTAGATGATTGATTTGAAGAAAAAGCTCTTTTATCTCGAAAATATATTATTATTAATTGGATGAGTGCTGATATTATATAACGAGATGAGTTCTGACATTGTATAACGAAATGAGCTATGATTATTTAGGTGGTAATGAAGCAAAGGCCTGCCCTGATTCGTCGGAATGCTGTATAATGATATTTTTCCTTCCATCCAATCATCAGGAATCAATGTGGATATACGTCGCGTATATGTGTTTATCGGACGTTGCTTTGCCAAGTTTTCGATCAATGATGCATTTTCATTACGCGATTCGAGCTTTCCGCAGAGTAACATTGCACAAAAGTAGAGAGAGATGCTCGCGTTTTTAGCCGTATGTATGTACATCGCTGATTCGTACTGATTCGTACGACGTGTCAACCATTCCTTGTTGGATTTTGCATCGACTTTTGAGAATAGCGGATGCAAACTCCAAACATTATTTAAATAACATATTTATGATGTTATGATTTTGTCATTACACATAATTTCCCACGAAACTGCTAATGACACACACACGCGCGCACACATGCCGATTCTCTTAAATTTTAATTATGAGAAATGTGCTCGGATGTACTAGTTAGTCGAGTAAGAAATCCAATTGTGAAAAATTGCAAAAAATGTCTTCTCTCTTTTCGGAAAGAATTTCTCGTGCCCCCTCCTTCCCCGGATCGGATCTTAGAGAGACGTTGAGCGCCTATCGTCCCGTTTGAAGACGACAAGAGAGGAGAATCAGCGGTAACGAGGGCGCGGAAAATCAGCCGTCCGGTCGGTGCAGCGCGCGCCAGCAGCAGCGGCCATAATAATAATTTTTACAAGCCCGCGTGTAATCAAGGCTGCGCGTTACACATGTTTCGTCCGTGGGCGCCCCCTACCCACGGCACGTACGACCCCCCTCGTCGGCGTCGTAGGGGTGGCCGCGGCACGTAGTAGGGACAGCCACCCGCGAGAGGGGGCGAAGCGGAGAAACGGGGAGGAGAAGGGTTTCGGGTGCCTCGTGGGGTGTTCGTGGATGGCGAGGAGAGGAGATCGACGGTGGAACCGAGACGGGATACAACTCGGGGCGGACGCGGCGCGTGGGTGAGAAAGGGGGATGTTGGCAGAGGGAGGACGCGGAGGGGATCGGTGACAGGGGGGGCAAAGCGGTGTATAGTATTCACGCGGCACGGTTGCTGGTGCTGCTGCTGCTGCTGCTGTTGTTGCTGCTTCTGCTAGTGCCTCGGTCCACGGTTCTTCGTGTATTGTTGTCCAATCGAGCGTACCGACGAACCGGTTTTCGAACCGGACCACGCGCGCCAATATCACTCGTATACGGTATGGCACGGGCTCCTTTTTTCCTTTTTTTCGATGGGCGGTCATTGAACAACGGGATGTTATTGGTCGATCGCCGTGACACATGCCCGCGTGTATCGAAGATCTGGTGAGAGACGTTGTTTATTCGCGACGATTTGTGCCATTTGCGTGCGATCGTAGACTATCGAATCCATTCATCGATCGTCGACAGTTTTAGATCCTCTGGTGTATCTATCTTTTTTTATCACAGATCGACGAACGTGAAAGCATTGATCCTTTGAACACGTGTGGTGCGTTGAATTTAATTTAGTGATTGTTTGATCATCCAATTGTTGTTTCCATAGTGCTTGAATGAATATAATGCAAACTTGTTACAATTGCACGATCATCTAATCAAGTTTACAACAATTTACACACGATAATTATTCGTTTTCTCTGCCACGTGCTTCTGCTTGGATTCGAAGATCGGTGTGGACAAGCAGTGTTACCATCGATTGATTGTGGTCTCCTGTAAAACCCATCAAGCTTTGATGGGGTTGTCACGTGTCGGTGGGACGTTTGTAAGCTCGAGAGTCATCGAGGAACGAAGAGCGTCGTGTTGGAATTGACTAGTCGAGATCTGCGGCGAATGATGGTTCTTTCGATCGATCGTGACTCGTGTCGAAAGATCGACTTACGAGGAAAGCGGATGTTTCATTTCGGAATTTAGGAATTTGAGTGAGTATTTTTAGTCACGTCGTTTTAGATGAATATATTAATTTTAGACGCGATTGCGAAGAAATATTCAATATCATAAGAATCCGATCATTTCGTTTACGCGATTGCCTATCTCATAATAAATTAATCAATCTCATCATAAATTGATAAATCTTGTAATAAATTAATCAATCTTTTAGTAAATTAATCATCATCATTTATCATATACATACATAAGCTACGCGAGATTGTAAATAATATATTCTCGTAAATGGAGACACTTTTGTTTATAAATACACACATGAGACATTAGTAACTCGTGGCGACAATTATCTCGATAGCGCGGCTCATTAATTAACGTCCTTCAATGCGTCCCTATATCGGTTGATGTCCTACAGCGGCACGATTGTATGTCTATGAATAGATATGCGCGATTGATTAGCTCTTTTAATAGATGGGAAAGTATCGCAAATGCATAACATTAATCAAATGCATAACGTAACTCGATGAGTTACTAAAATAGCAATTATACATTACTGAATAAAAAAAAAAAGATATCCACAATCTTGCGAGTTCTATAAAAAATAGATGAGATACTTAAAAGGGGCTTTCATATGAAAACGATACGCATTATCGCGGTATCGAGGGCGCGACAGATTCCTCTGGCGAGTCGCGTCTCGACTCGCGTGTAAAACGGAAGGGAGGTTCGCGATTTGTGGAGCGCGCGGGCAAAGAAACGCGGTGGAAGAGCGGAGTTACCTGGTTTGTGCCGTGCCCGGCAGTTGATCGGAGCGTGACGAGCGGTAATTGAATGTAGGTATGGCATTTGCATTGACAAGCTCCAACAGAGATAATTCGAATCTCGTCGAACGCAATGGTCCACACGGGCGTTAGGTCGTTTGTCAATACGACGGCGGCCCGTCCAGTTTCCACGTTTCCAGCGGTATCGCTGTTTGTCACCGTCTCGTCGGCGATCGTTCGCCGCTGAATACACCCAGCTCGCATACTTCTGTGGAAGCGCGGACGCGTTTCGTTCTGTTCCGTTCCGTTCCGTTCCGAGCCGCACCGTACTGTCAAACGCACGGCTTGTCGGTCGAGGATTATTACGGTCGTCGCTAAATTGTTGCGCGATTTTCCTTGTCGGAAAAAAAGGACTAATTTTGTATCTCTCGATCTAATTATCGTCCCCGTCGAATATGTACACTCGAATTTAAACTTTGAATTTTTAATTTAATTAATTGCCTTTTTGATAGAGAAAATTTATTAATAAGAAAATTTATTAATAGAAAGATTCGGGAAAAAAAATTACGAGAGGATTGGAGAAAAATAATAAACTGTTATTGGCGATTGTCTTTGGGTAGGAAAGGGATGTAAAAATTGAGCATTTTTTTCCTCGATTGGGGAGGGATGCGAAAGATGTCGTTTCGTGGGAGCGGCAAACGGATGCAAGGAAAAAAAAGAATCTCTTTGAATTTGTTGATTTTGTACAAGTGTGGATCCGCACATGTCCGTAGAACCTCGAGTGTTTGCCTGCCGGCAGGTTCGCGACCGGTTGGATATCGTCAGGATATATTCGCGCAGGAAATGGATAGTTCCATTGTTTGCACATTCGTACAAACAGTGCAACTGCGAGGATGCGCCGGGACCACTGTTTGATTTTCGAAAGTGAAGCTTCATTGTACGAGATACTGTTGTACGAGTGTCCCGATGCATATGAAACAAGGATGCGTTTTGAGGGGGCGAAAAAACGCGGATCTCCCTCGTCGAAGAGAGAGAATGCTGCGTTGGAATTAAACAAATGATATATATATTTTCGCAAACTTTTACTCGCCGATATTCGATGCCGGAAGTTGCTCGATCGCGCGCAAAATCAACAATGGATTTGACGTGATTAATTCCGCGGAAACTTTTGCCCGTCGAGCCTAATTGGAAGTATCGAGATGTTGCAACGCAGATCGTACCGTGTTACGCACGCGAGAGAGGAGAAAAAATGCGCGCGCGCGCGCTTTGCATGGAGAAAACCGATCAAATCGGGATTCGATAGATCGATCGAAGGCTCTCCCGGCTCCCCACCGATGTCCAGCACGCGAGCCATACCGCAAAAGGGTCGAGGGGAAAGAGAGAACGCGCGAGTGAGCGAGAGTGCCGAGAGAAAGAAAACCGACGTCGTGAGAGGGAGAGATCGAGTCCGGTGGGAGATAAAGCGATAAAGAGCGGCGTGCGCGCGAGAGAAAGAGGTTTACGCTAGGCGGAATGAGGGACGGAAAGAGAGAGGGTGAGGAAGAGAGCGAGAGGGAGGGAGCGAGAGAGAGAGAGACAGCCAGAATAGGGAAGGAAGGTTGGAAGGAGTGGGGTGGCAGAGGGGTGTGAGAGAGGAACCAGGAAAGGGGAAAGGGATGCTGCGTGTGTTGGCATGGACCAGTGCGTCAACGGCTGTTGCCTCACACGAACCGCCGAAATTATAGTTAGTGACCCCCAACGGATACTTGAGAAATACACTCCCGACTACCCGTTGCCGCTATATCGAACTGCCACTTTCGCACGGGGAACAAGGATGATTCGAGGGTGCCGCTAACGAACCGCCAGAGGGGTCCCTTCGGGATCGCCCAAGGGGGGAAAACGCTCTAGGAAAGTCGTCCTTCGTCCTCGGCCGAGCGATCTTGATGAGGCGCAAGTTTCGAGAGAGATGAGATCGTTCCCGGTTATCGATAAGCTCCTTTGAGTGAAAGTGTTTTGGCGAGTTTCTTCTCGTCTCGAATAGGACTTTGTACGTCCAAGTGTGTGATTATGCGAGAGTTTTTGAGTGTCGGCCGACAACGAATGTGATATCGTGTAACGCTTGATCAGTAATCGTCGATTGTCCTGTTAAATATCGAGTAATCGAGTGCTTGAAATGCGAGTAAGTGAAGATTTTTGAAAAGATTCTTATCGCACGTATCCAAAAGGGACGAATATTTCCTTCGTTTGAACGGATATTTGTCTTTTTTCTCGACATTAGTTGAAAGGGAGATACGTTTGTGATATATTGGATATTTCAATAAAAAATATATAGTGGAAAAACAAAATTTATTTACATTTTACAATTGCTTATACAAATGTTACATTGACTTTCTTTGGAGGAATTTTTGATCAAACTTTCCTCGATTTCGCAGAACGATCACATTACACGTATCCAATTTATCCGTTAATTGTTTACAGGCTGTTCGGAATCGGATAATAATATGCGATCGGTGTTACAATTCCGCCGGAAGACAGTAAACAGAACGAGTTTCGTAAGAGATTTGAATGCGAAGTTAAGCGAGAATCTTAGCCGTCGCAAAGTCGTTGAGTCGTTCTTACAAAAGAATCGTGAGAAAATGTCCATCGATTGTTGTTGTTGCGGTTGAAGCATAATGCGTTCTATCGCATTATTATCTCATATAATCGAATTTCAGTATTTAGAGAAATGTTGAATACGCAGCAATTGCTTTTCATAACAATACTTTGGATAATATACAATACAACATGTAATTTTATCTGCGCTTATATACATTCAGAAATTGAAATAATCGATTCGTATATCTGTTACATGTGATTGATGTAATGAAATTATTTCTAACGCGAAGCTCCTCACGAACTGAAAATAATAATCGGCATGAATTAAAATGATAATTATTTATTATCGATTATTAACACGCTCATCATATAACTAACTGTACTCGTGGACATGTATATGTTGAATTTTGATTGTCTTCGTCTTATCATAGATTATCAAATATCGGCTGGCTCGGGATTTTCGAGTCGCGAGACCGTCATTGACAGGAGGCAACGTAGTAAACGTGGCCACGTGCAGTTTGACACGCGGTCGTACGTGCGTAGGGGTTGGGCATTCGTGTGGGGGGTGCCTACCGCCGGGCGTTCTTTTTCCCCTATTTTTTCCGTCCCCACCATCGTGCCGGTCTGCCCCTCCTGGAACCACCTGGATCCGGCGTGTCAGCCCCGGTGACGTGCGCAAAAATTACTGAATGAACGGTGACGTCACGAGGCCAGCCGCGTGAAAAGTGTGCGAGCCGTTCCCGTTCGTGTCAACCGTTTTCACCCCCTTTCGTTTCTCTTCGCGCCGTTACCCGCCGTTCAACCACCACCGTCCGTTTTTTTCGCGCTCGTTCCCGAGTCGGTGTCGTGTCTGATGTCGCGGGAGATTCGGATAAAACTCGGTTAAAGGCTCCCGTAAGTAAGATAACGGCACGTAGATTTCATTAAAGGGATTAAGGATGTCTAGGACCACCTTTGATCAGCGACGGCCGCGAATGCATTGGCGCGCGACGAGAATCCTTGCCTTGCCAAATCAAGCTTTTAACAATCACATTTCTCGAAAATATTCAATGCTTTAAATTTAGGTCAACGCATCGGATATGAATAAATAATTGTGGCAATAATAATTTTATATAAAAAAACTATAGGATAAATTATTGACAGCATTTTTGAAAGTAGATTGTCTTCTTTTTTTTTCGCAGATGCAGTTGGAAGATAGAACATATTGAAAAGATTTGAAACCATCTCGACTCATCTTGTAAAAAAATTCAATTTCTATAAAGCTACTATTTTACATCGAACAAAAAAGTGATCTCCATCTCAATTCGTCACAAAAGTGCAAAGATTGAAAGAATAAACAAGTCCACCGTCAGATTTCATACGACAATGCATAAGTCTATGAGGGAATTTGAAGAGAATTGTCACGTCGTGTTTAACATTTATCTCGGCGCCAACATTGGAGAGAAAATGTATTAAAATTGACGACGTCTCAGAGCCATCGAATTTTGCGAAGGATTCTAAATTTCCGCCAAGGATATCAGGCCGTTAAGCTCGATCCGACAGATTATGCGCCCTTGAAAGATGCTCGCGAGATTCTTTCGGCTCAGCGGTTGAACCTAATGGAAGGATGTTTCATCCGGTGTTCTGACTGCCTATGGATATATTCGGCCGTTGCAACGGCGGCAGCAGCGGAAGCACGGTAGCCGGAAGCGGTGCTGGCTCGGTGAGGACGTCGAGCAACGAGTCCGCCGGCGGTGGTAGTGGCGGCACGTCGAGCGGTACCAGCGAGAGCGGCAGCAGCGCGAGTGGCAGGATGCAGTTGACAGGAGCCTCGGCTCCTGGCGCGGCCGCCTCGCCGGAGTCGGGCGTCTCTCCGCTGACCGACGCCTACACCAAGATGACTAGCGACATCCTCGCCGAGAGGACCCTAGGTGACTTTGTCAGCGAACATCCCGGCGAGCTAGTTAGAACAGGTAGCTTTTTCAAATGGAAATTATCGATAATCGTAACAAGAAAAGAATCTTTACAATCGTCATCAACTTGGTCGAGCTTGTAGAAAGTATTTGAGACATTTTCAACTAATAAACTTAATATGTATATTGGACATTTTGCTAATAAAGTGAAACGGATATGTCGGTCAACAGGCTCGCCGCATTTGGTTTGCACCGTCCTGCCGGCGCACTGGAGGTCCAACAAGACTCTTCCGGTGGCTTTCAAGGTCGTGGCTCTCGGCGACGTGGGCGACGGTACCCTCGTGACAGTTCGTGCTGGTAACGATGAGAACTGCTGCGCCGAGCTCAGAAACTCGACGGCTCTAATGAAGAATCAAGTCGCCAAGTTTAACGACCTGAGGTTCGTCGGCCGAAGCGGAAGAGGTGAGTCATTTCTTTCTTTCAATTTCATCGTCTGCGAAAAGCCGAACATTTCATTCATTGCGACAAAGAGAACGACGAAAGTGTCGGCCTAACATCTCTCTCTCTCTCTCTCTCTTTCTCTTTTGCCCTACTTTCCTCTCCATTCATAAAATTGCAAAGTTCTCGAGTCTTTGCTCGAAGCGTGTCGCCCTTCGTCTTTTATGCCGGAAGAAAATACCAGAGGGGTGAGAAAGACGACGGTAGAAACCCCTTCAAAGAATTCGGTGTACGCCGCGTAGTAAGGGTAGGTCGCGGTTGTCTTGAGACAACCCTCGTTTTTCCTCGGCCCTTGGAGGAAAAGTCTCGCGTCTCGGCTCGACTCAGGGGGTTGGTTCTCCGAGCGGGCGGGGTGGATCCGAGAAGATCGCTTGGGGTGGGTAATGGCTTTTATTTGTCGGCATCGCCGTGCGACCTTCTTCTCTCGCTTTGCCGCCCAGTCTCGTCGGGAAAAGGGCGAAACGGGAGCGTCGCTCGAAGAAGCCGACGACGCCGACGAGAAACACAGGGACGGGTGATATTAATTGAGGTTTCAGTAGAGTTTTAATTAACGTTATTAGAGCCGGTATTTCGTCTAACTGCGTCTTTTGAACTCGCACCCAGAGTCTGGATTAACTTGAAGCATGTGCATCCGACCTACTTGTAACGATTTCGATAAAGTTGTTTGGCTTACATAACTTGTCACGCGCGTTGCGATTTATTCTACACAGTTACATTAATTTTTAAAAGATATGCCTCGAGTATATTGAATATTATTAGTGGCGATATATCTAATATATTATTATTGTTGTCATATTTTCGATCGTAAAGGAAGGCTAATCGCCTGAGAATCGAGAAACTCGCAAATTCTGCAGCTAGGAAACGGGGAAACTCTTCTTCCCTCCTCAAGTTCACGGGAACGCGTCAGTCATTTGTCTGGGATTAGCTCTCAATTGTTTTCGCCGAGCGCGGAATTAACATAAGCTAGGATGAAGAATGTAAGAGAAGTGTCTCTCTCTCGTCAGGATTCCTAACGGTTCTCCCTGGCTCCTTGAATATTCCCTGGAAACCGATGTGCGCCGAACTCTCGGGAATTCTTAATGATCCTCTCCGTTTGTCGAGCGTGGAAATATTCGCACGTACGGATTCGCGAGCAGGATTTTGTCCTTTCGATTCGAGGAAAGATTAGAAATTCCCCTCGACTGCATTCTTTATCGCCTCTCGCGCGTGTAATTAATTACACTCGCAAAATATGGTGAAAAAATTTAATATATCAGAATTTATCGCAATCTACCAAAAAAGAAATGTCGCACGCATTTCGATTATTATTACTCACGATGAGGGATCGTTAGACGCACGACACCGCGCTTTTGTCTTCGCCTAAAACCGCTTTTAGCCCGGACAAGATTGAGCGTACTGCCACGATAGTCGAGAGCTTTGCAATATCGATGATAAGCCGTAACCCCCTTCCCGCACGTTCGACCGTAATGCCTGCTCCATCACTGCAAAGTCTACCCTGAAGGTACTGGATTGTTTCCACCCTTCGGTCCTAAGCCCTTTAACGAGATAGATCATTTGCGCGCTTATAGTTCCAACCCGTAGCGGGCGAGATATCCTTCGACTTTGCTGCCGCGAATAAACTTCGTCACGGGAACGTCGCCAATCTTGCCAAGTTGCTTTAATTCTACAACACACTTTCTCTTAAATCTATTAATCATTGTACTTGTAATACACAACGCGAACAAGGGAGAGAAGCGCGTGACAAAATTAAAGGCGGCAACTATCTAGAATACAAAAGAAATTTCATTCTAGCTCTTAATAAATGTAGATCAATATCTGTATAAGAGGGAAAAAGAGAATAGATCTCTAGTAATTTTTAATATTTATAAATTAAAAATTGTCCATTCTTTAAAAAAAAATGTATATATTTTGGAAAGGAAAATGTGCGTGTGTACGCAATGTTTAATTTAAACGCAAAATATTTGAATAATTCTCACTGATTCTCGCGCCGCGAGCGTAATAAAAATTTATGAAATGCATCGAATCGGTGAAACGCATTCGCTCGCGAAGTGTTGATTTATCGGCCGCGGCATGAGGCTCGTTTCATTTCGAAAAGAAAAACGGGCAGTCACTCGCGGTGACGGGCCGCAGTTCCTGACCGTAATCAATTCGTTATCAGACTGCAATTGCGCATTTGCGTTTCGTTCGGGGAAAACTGAAATTAATTAATTGGCCCGACACAGTACACCGACAGCGATACAATAGAGCGGGGACACGTGTACGGGCACAGACACGCAGTTTCGTACACGCCTGCAAAGGACAGAGATATGCTAACGAGCATAATCAGCGAATGGTCGGGAATGAGTTTCTCCACCTAGTATTTTCCTAAATTTACAACGCGACACGCGCGAATATATTATTCTTTTCGAGATATTTCGAAAATTATATATTTCGACGCGCGCGTAACGCTATTACGCGTAGCGTATATGTGGCTAATTACAGGGCGTCTACTCGCAGAAATTCTCAGGGATTTCTTTGTACCTGAAAAATCAGGAAATTCTCATGAAATTTTATTAATTTAACTCGGGAATTTTTGAAAAAATTCTTTCTGGCAATTTTGCTCTCACATTGACATAAACAGCCGACAAACTAAATAAATTATATATTTAAAATGTACATTTATATTTATATATTCAATGTCTTTACAAAATACTGAATATGCATATTCTTTTTAACGATGTAATTTCTAGTGATAAAAAAATGAAAATTTATTATCCACGTGAAAAATGCTTGTCCTACAAGAGTTTATCAAATTTTTTTTCAGAGTACAGTTAGAAATGTAGCACTTGAAACTTGAGAGATTTTGTGTTTTTCCTTCGTGATTGAAAACCATTAGAAATACAATAATAAAGTTTAATTTTTTAAAATTGCATGAAAAAATTTTTAAATATTCTCTTGTTCTACCACTTTATCCAATTTGGAATAAAAATACCTGGAAGGTCGGGGAATCTTACAAGACTCGAGTAGACATTCTGAATTATCAAGGAAAACAAGTCTGTCCAACCCCATTCCGCGATGTCGTCGAGCGAGGCGAGGAACATCGCCGAGTTACGTAACAAGCTCGGACGAGAAGGCGAGCGTTTAAAAGGACGGTGGGCTCGTTCGCGGACGATCTTTAATGGCTGTACGGCGACTGGCACCGAGGGTGATACCCGTGTATACCCGCGCTTACCCGTCCACCTAACTGGAATCATGGCGGTAGAGGTGAAAAGGCTGGTTGGCAGGCGAGAGAGAATGGCGTGACTCGTAGCCGCCGAGAGGGGAATCCCCGCTGGAAAACGAAAGGCTCGCGTGGCGAACCGCCGTGTGGCCACGCTCGACACTCGCCATTATTTCTCCGCGATGCCTTCCACCAAGCTTCTGCCTCCTCGTTCATTTTTTTCCGTCCCGCCATCGATCATATGGCGTCTTACCGCGACGCTACTTTACCGTCTCCATCGTGACGCTTGGGTCGGGAGGGTCCGGAGTCGACGGTGAACTTTGCGGCCCGATCGATTATCGCCATTTCGTTATGTACGAAAACGTGTCTAATGGGTCTGATAGAAAAATACAGTAATGGCCACACACGAAGGGGGTAACGCGAGCGTTATAACGCATTAACGGGAAGAAGTCGTTTAGGGGCGGATATAAATAACATAATGCGTGTTATCTTTTATATTGTAAACCGATGGCGGAGGATAAAAGCGCGCTGCCTTTGCAGCATTATCGTATCTAATTTCAAGAAAACACGCCTCGTGTTTTATATATATATATATATATATATATATATATATATATATATATATCTGTCGCGCGCGAAACACGCGATATATGGGTTAGTGAGATGATTATTACATTTCCGTTACGTGAGATACAAAGTTCAGGGTGTCCACTTCTTTAAAAAAACATGGAAAGCTTGGATTTCTCAGGGAAATTTCTATTGCACCTGAAAAAATGGGAGAATTTTCATGGAATTTTATTGAAACTCGGGAAATTTTTGGGAAAATTTTCTCTGATAATTTTGCTCTTATATTGTAAACAGTTGACAAACCAAGTGAATTATGTGTGTTTAGCATATATTATAAATATATATATTTACATACTCAATAGCTTGACAAAATATTGAATGTTCAGTACGCATTTTTTATTGCAATTTTTATGAGTAAATGAAAATGTCATGCAAATGGAAAATGTTTATTTTACGAAAATGTTATTTAGTTTTTTCAGTAAACTTGAAAATCTAACACTTGAAGCTTAACATTTGCTTGGCTTTGTGCCTCTTTTTCGAGTGAAAACATTAGAAAACGCGTGCAATGAAAGGAATTCATTTTAGAAAATTGATCGAAAAAAATTTTTTTCAATATTCTTTGTAATTTGGAACGAAAATAGACCTGAAAGATCGGGGAATTTTCAGTTGATTTTTTTTATTTTACAAGATTTGAATAGCCTGAAAGTTGTATCGCGCCAGTGTCATGCAAATGCGTCGTGAAAAAAATCGCGCGCACGCGGTGTCGCTCGTTCGGGCGGCGAACGTACGGTGATGTGAAAAAGAGCGAGGGGTTAAAATTGCGGTGAACCTCCGCTCGCGCGCAATTTTTTGCCGCGGTGACTTCTCGCATCGAGGAGAGACGTTGGCCGCATTTTCGCGCGCTTTTTATCGCTTTGCCTTCCTCTCGCGTGCTGTCGAATCGATCGCCCGTCGCGGTGAAGTTTCGGCGCGTTCGCGGGATGAAATTGCGGTGGACGCACGTTTCATCCCGACTCTCATCATCATTCCTCCCTTCCGTTGCTCGCATCCCCTTCTCGCGCTTTTCTCCGACGCATTATTTCGCGCCGAGGCTTTTTAACGCGACGAGAAAGAGAGAGAGAGCACCTGGGGAGAGCACGATCCTCCACCGAACGCGACTCCGCGTTTTCCTCTTCGTTGCCTTAACTCGGCCGCCCTGGCTGGCCACCGTCACCGTCGACGACGCCCTCGATACATTACCGACGTGTAATTCGGTTACCGCGGAGTTTCGCCCGGCTAACCGCGTTTGCGAACTTTCGACGTCGGTTGAATAGGCGCGTCCGTGAATCGACGCGTTCGCGGGACGCTAAAAATGCGCGTCTGACGTGCGATCTCGCCTCGTTTTTCAAAGTTAATTCCCCGAGCGTTCCCACTTTGCGCATTGCGGTGCGGTTTCATTAAAATTGAATATTTGCCAACGAAAATGCCGGTGATGAATTTAACGTATCGGTGAAGCGTTACTCGAGAAAACTCTGATTGATCGCGTTAATACGTTAAATGTATAATTTATATCTTTCTTTTATTTTTCAGGCAAGAGTTTCACCTTGACGATAACGGTGTCGACGACGCCGCCGCAAGTCGCTACCTACACCAAGGCGATCAAGGTGACAGTTGACGGGCCGCGCGAGCCGCGATCCAAGACCAGTGAGTATCACTGTAAGCATTGCTATTCTTATATACATTTATTATTATACATTTTACGGTTTCGTTTATCTACCACGGTCGCGTATCCCTCGAGACTTTCGCGATTCGTTGATGCCAACGTATCCGCGGGATCCAGGGGGGCTCTCGAAACGATAGTAATGCTTAACGAACGAGCGGCATGGCACCGGAGGCAGTAAAAGCCGCAAGTTCGAAATGGCCTCGATGTGCGGCTTCGTACTGGTCGGACGTTACCTCCGAGGCTAAGTTTCGCGCAATTGCCATTATTTATAACCGGCGAAACACCCGGACCCCCGCCATAACATTGACAAAGAGCTGCCGGGCGTTGCCCGTTGAGATGCGTGTGTGTGTTTATACATGCGTGTGTGTCTCTGTATCGCGGCGCTTTAGCCAAAACACGGGGCGACGCCTACAAACTTGGCGGATATCCGATCGCGAGAACTCCTCCGCGAACAGCTACCGCCGAGACATACAATTACCGAGGATCCTCTACCCGTTACTTCGCTAGTCGGCGCCGTCTGCGGGGGGTTCCTCCGTAGGGGACGAAGAGAACCGCCTCTCATTCTCCGTTTGTCATCTATCTACCGCGTAACCTACCGCGTAACGCATTGTGCGTTCTTGAAATTTAGTCCCATACACGTCAGTTTGCGGTGAAAACGATTCTCTTCAAAATCTCCAAGGTCTAGGATAGGGTGTCTGAAGGACAAACACTCGAGAGGCATCGCTTTATACATAAATTCCGCGGTGAAAAAGCTTTGGAAAATTGTTCAGATGCGCTATTTCTTTCTTTTTTTTTTCCTTTCAAGTTTGCTACGAAATCAGGAGACTTTGGTTGTCATCGTACTAGACACTTGCGACGTGATGGAATCTCGTCGGCTTAGATATCGGACAGCGCAATGTCGTCTGTGAGAGAAACTGTGCGTATACCAAAAATATCCGATAGCTTTAATATATCGAGGCGGCGGTCTCTGGATAGTAGCACAGAAGAGGGGGAAGGGGCATAAGTTTGGTACCTTGGGAAATTGCGACCACATCCGCCGGCTTGGCCGCATCTGCGGACCACCCACGAAACTTCCGTCATAAATCCAAAATATGAAAACGCGAAATTTCGGTGTACCGCTCGGAGACGCGCATCCAAGCAAAATACTACGTGACGCTTCGGAGAGACAATTTCTCTTAGGATATTAATGCTCTCTACCAACGCTATGCGTTATCTCTCGTTTGCGATTAAAAACGAAATTGTTATTACGAGTCGAGCGCGAATATTGTGAGACTCGCGCTTTTTAACGCGTTAGTTATCCAGATTAGTTGACTCCAGGTTGACGCAACTTTAGAATTCCCTCGGTCCGAGAAGATGATTTTGCGAAGCGTTAAAAAAGCATCTCTAGAGCAAACGCCGGATATGAATTTTTTAGTGATCGTTAAGGTAGCACGAGAACGTCGGAAATAAGCGTTCGTCAAGTCGGCGCTTTGAAATCTACTATGAAAACAAACCGTTTGCTGAATCGGGGCAAATGGCGCGACAATTTCGAGGGATGGCGGTGCGAGATGAAAGAACTTTGTCTTCCTGGGTGGTCCGCGGGCGCTTCTTTCCTAGCCGCGGTCCACGTGCCTCATCTCGTATTCGTGAACAAGCTAAACGACAACTTTACATCTACTTTATTTCTGTATTTTCGTGAATAATTTTAATTATTTAATCAATTTATTAAATATTTAATAATTCAATATTTATTTAATTTTTTATACATAATTTATTGAATAATATGATAATTTTTAAAACGGAAAAATATATAAGACAAATGTATATTTCTTTATACATGCACATAATTTCTATACAATATTTCTTTTTATAAATATATATATAAATTTTTTTCTATGATTATAACGAAAAGATGAGACGCCACGCGACCAAGACGCGACGAAAAGAAAGCCGGCAACTGAAACAAGGATTTGTTTCGGTAGTTTCCTACGATGGCGGCTTGATAGATTTAATAAATTATGCCGTTCGACCCACGAATTTATCACGTCAGCCTAACCCTTTGAATTCGGCGTGCCGTTCTTCGCAGTATTTCATTAGACGTCGAGCACTCGTGCGACCCTCCGGATAGTTGCTCGCTCTTCTAAACGGTCGGCATCCCACGCTTCTTTCTCCGTTTAAACGAGCCAACGAATAATCAATGGTCAATTTTTAATCAGTTATCTCTTATACTAGTTATTTTTTCGAAAGTGTATTAAAAAATTAACTCAAAAGACGCTTTATTTATTATTTCGATTACGCTCAATCGCTAATGCATTGCAATGCACACTCGACTTTTAACAATACTTTTTGATTCATTCTTTCGCGGATTAAAAGGAGGCAATCGACGGCGATTGGACAAAGTTGTAAGTTCTCGGCAAGTCGCGGCTATCGATTTCATTGGACAACCCTCTTTGCGCGCCGTGACTGCCAGGGAATTTCTCGAGAGTTAGCAGCTGGCAACGACAGATCCTCATTTCGTCCCGTCGCCAATCCTCGCGTTCCCCGCTCCTTCCCCGCGCAAGCCGCGTCCCGAAATCGGCTCCTCTTTCCGGATGGATGATGAGCGCTCTCATTCTAGATCTTTCCCATCGTCGCCGAGAATCGTTTCGTTTTGTTTCGTTTCGTTTTATCGAAGACGCGCGCACCTTTCGCGAACCTTTAGATCCCGAATAGGCAAGTCGTCGCGAGAAGCATCCGGAACTCGGGCTGAATCTCCCTCAATCAATTTCCTTGGACCCCGCAGCCTTTCCGCGGCAACGGCGGCGGCCACCTTCGGCTACCAGACGAGGGTAGAATGTGTAATGAATTGCTTGTTTAATTAATTACAACCCTTCGCGCGGAAGCATTCACCCGGTGTTGTCTTAGATAAGGTTTATTCGTTTTCGCGTTCAATCGTCAAATGCATGAATGCACAAGCATTTCTCTTCGCGATATGTGTGATATTTGTTCATATACATCAAATTTATTTCAAGCACGAAAAATATATTTCAATATATTACTATAATCATGAAAAAATATGGATATATGTGTATAATCAGAAACATATATTTACATTTGATATATTTTTCCGCATCCTTTAGAAATGATTAAGCAATGATAATTTCGACAATTGAGTCGGCATCGCGTCAAACGTTCGAAGGGCGAATAAAAGGCGCTCCACCTAAGGAGACTGTATCCGATCTATAAAATTTTGTCCCGGGGCTCCTCTCGGGTCCTGCGGCGGGCTCGAATCGCCGGTCGTTTAACAGGATCTCGTTAGTCTCGGTACCCGTCGGTATTCCGCCGTCGCGCCCCCATTGTGTCCCCGGATCGAGCGTACCCTATTCAGCAAACCGGCGGGAATTTCGGGTTGCCGAGTTAGAATTAGGGCTTCGATTGGATTATCAGGATGGCGGGAGTCCGCCACCTCCCTTCCGTCCTGCGACCCTCTCCGTGTCGGTCTCTCTGGCCTCCGGTGCCTTCCGCGTTGGATCGTTGCCTTTAGGGGAAGGGAACGAACCTGCACACGGCTGTCCTGTGCGACGACCTCTAGCCAGGGACAGCCGGATAGGACGTCCGCCTATTGGGACGTCTTTAATTGGGTTGGCGACACCGTCGCAGGGAAATAAAATGTATCGATGCCTCTCTCTCTCTCTTTCTCTTTCCCTCGCGTCTCCCTCGTTCGTTCGACTTTCGAAGGGACGGCTATTTAGTTGCATCGGTCCGTATGTCGTTTTCTCAGTAAATGAACGATATTTTTTGCATCGATCGAGAAAAAACGTAAATAAATTTTATTTCCACGTAACTTTTGCGCGTTGGAGAAAATTCGTGCGCGCGTAAATAGAATATATATCTGAGACTTTTCATTTTCGAGGAGAAAAAATGATCGCGTAAGACGAAACGGACGATTGATACGTATTGTACCGGGGGTCCAGCCGGACAGGCGCACGGTTGATCGCAGTGCTGTCTCTTTTAGGGCAGCAGCAACAATTTCACGCCTTCGCGTTCGCCTCGCAACGAGGCGGCCCGTTCTTTGCCTCGCCTCTGGTGGATCCGTTGCAACCTCTGCCGAATCCGTTGCAACCATTACCGAATCCGCTCCAGCCGAGGGATCCGTTGTCTTCCTTTAGACACGCGATGCCGGGTAATTGTCAGAGTAAGTAAATCGACCGAGCTCCTCGCATGATCGTAACCCTCAATCGCACGGCTCGGCTTTGAATGTTTCGTCGATATAAACCTGCTTTATGCATGCGTGTATTGTTTTTTCTATCATCGGCTATGCATCAATGCTTTTCGGTGTAAGACATCCCTTGATCGCACGATTTTTGACATGTGAACAAATTTAAGGCGTGCAAAAAAGATAAGAGATGAGATGAAACACGACGACTTATATGCACGCGAGAGGAGACATTTTTATTTTACAGCATTCTTCTCATTTTTTAATCGCGTTGCGAAATTTAGATAATTTTTGTCATCGAGCGGGCGGCTTCTGTCGAGTTCGGGAATATTTCCAACCAGACTGTTACTGGTCTGAGTACAGAAGCACGGCTTTTGGATAGGCTCGGCAGCTAGCTTCTCGGCTTCAGAGGCGGAAACCGCAAGCCTGTTCAAAGCTAGATTAAATATTATATTAAAGGGGTTGCCACGGAAGCGCGTCCCAGTCGGTTGGCTGCCTGTGTTTTGGGGGCGCAGCTTCACCTTCTCTCCGCGTTCATAACGTAGATTCGCGAATTTGCGCGCAAAGCGCACTGTCAAAGTAACATCGGGAGATTGTCAGTCGTTAATTGTCGAGGGAAAAAAAAGGAGCTTCCTGTCGTCGATTAATATCGCGTAGGCGTAGCTCATCGATTCGCGATCATATCGCGGAACCGACGAACGATATCTGGGTGCACGATAAAAATTTTTAATACTCCTCTCAGGCGTGCGATAACATCGATAAACGGGTTTTGGTAAGCGCGCAAGGAGAGATGAGAAAAAAAAAAGAGTTTAAACAATAATTCGAGAGATCAGCCATTTTAATGAGTTACCTCAGACGCGAGGGCTGACTGCTCCGCTGTTCTAGCTAAATTTCCCGATAAAATACGAAGCACGCCGAATATTTCCTTTATTAACTTTTTTCCCCTCACCGGGCATCTGGTCGTTCGATAATACGCGTACGCGGCCGTATTATTCTCACCCTACAAGCTTGGCGAATTTGATTTCGAGAGACACTCGCCCCGCGGTTACTTTTCTCCAATAAAATTATAAAACTTTATATATTATATATTATTATATACGCTACGCTCTTGAATCGATAACTATTTATTTTTTCTCGATATAATTAATAAAATGTTTGCTTGTAAAAAAAAGAAAAGAAAGCGAGAAAACGATTAGTTTGATTTTTCCAAAGGCGAAACGGGCTGGATTCGATCCGGTACCCGAATCCCGCAGCGATCCCCGCATATTTCGGACGGACTCTCGCGCGCAACTTTTCGGCGATTTTCCATAAAAAGGGAGCCTCCTCTCCGGACCGCAAGGAATCCGGTAATGCCGAAGGATGTGAAAGCACGGACCGTAGGCGGGTAGCAGCAGTATTTAGGGTTAGCTCTCGTGACGACGGTCCGGTGGCGCTCGCCGAGGCGAGCTCGGTTATTTGAGTTGGCCCCGGCCAACGCAAGGGGGAGGGAGAGATGACCGACCCTTTGATCTCGATGTACCCCGTCCGTTTCCCTCGCAACCCGCCGTGTCCCTCTCGCGGACGCTCTCTCGTGCTCGTCCTTTCTGCATTCAACCCCCGTGACTCATTGGAAAATCTATCGGGGACGTTGCCTATACGCCCGCAAAAATACACTCGCCAAGGGTCGCACAGGGCGGCCGTGGCGGCCACTGCCCCCGATGCACCTCGCGAACCGATTCGAATTGGCATATAATCCGGCGAAAATTTCCCCGCCGCCTCTTCATCCCTCCGCGTTGCTTTATCCGATTGTCGCGATTATTATTTATACTTTTGCCGTCCGTCCGACGCGACTGCCTGCGCCGGCGAGAGAGCCTCGTCGGGAATTGCTATCGATATTTGTATCGTTGTTAGCCCGCTTTTCTTACACGTGTTGCGTTTCTTTGTGCTACCTGTCTCCTCGCTCGTTGACTGCTTTCTCGCACAGCTGGTATTTCGATATGTGTAACGCTCGCTGACGCTTTCTCGATTTGCATTTTCATAAGCAAAGGCGTCCCCTTGCCATTCTCTTCCTTGCGCAATTATCAGTTGTTTCGTTCCTTGATATTTTTTTTGGCAAGGCGTGCAACGGAAGGTTTCTCTAGACATGTCGCAGTTTGGCCTGACGGCGAGCAATTCCTGGGGGTACGGCAGTACGGCCGGCTACGCCGGCTACCTTCCGGGCCCCCTGTCGTCGTGCGCCGCACAGGCATCGTTTCCGCCCCCGCCGCCGCCCCCTCCGCCACCACCGCCGTCATCGACGTTGGCGTCCTTCGCCGGCACAGCCTCCATGAATACGCCGACGGCACCGGACTCGACGGCGGGCTCGACCGTCACATCCGGCACCAGCAATACCGGCTCCACGCCGCAGCAGGACGCCTTCTCCGCGGTCTCGTCTCGTAAGTTGAGCCTGCTGCACGATTATCGTCGAATTTCGCTGTGGTCTCGACAAACGTACAACCATGGGGTATCGCTTAACCGTCACAGCCTGTCGAAACGTCTTGGTAAATTTTTCAAGAGCCGATAACTTTAACGCGATCAAAAGTCGCATATTCGTTGAATCGCCTGGATGAGAGGATTCGATTCGCTTCCGCAAAAAAAGAAAAAAAAAAGAAAGACTCGGAAGCACTGTGGAACGGGGTTGTGCCTCATGGTTGGAAACCTAGCCGATTCGGAGGATTCGTAGAGGCTCTCAGCCGTTTGTCTCTATTCGAACTGAACGTAGTGAGTCTCGTTGCTCGAATTGTCGCAGTCGTACCGGACACCACGACACCGGGCCAGTCTGACCCGCTGGATCCGCTGAGCAGCCTCATGACCGGCGGCTCCACCAGCCAGAGGTATCAGGATTACGTGTCGCCCAGATCTCTGTCCACCGACTCGAGCACGACCGAGAGCCCGGTGCACGAGGAGCAGGGCTTCGGGCAGAATTACGGCAACTACTTCCCGACGCCCGGTGTGCTGCCCAGCATACTCTACTCTCAGCTTTACGGGAATCAGTTCCAGAATTCCGAGAGCGCCGAACAGAGGGCCGTCGCGGATAGTTGCAGCGTGAGGCAAGAGGAAGTTAGACCGGACAACAACGTCTGGAGACCGTACTGAGAGGCGGAGGAAAATCATTTCTTATCCGGTGACTTGGCCGTCGAGAGACCGCAGAACTCTTGGAAGACGAGAGGGAAATAACGCTTAAAAATATCGCTCCTCGATCTCTCGGCTGCCACGACGAAGTAATTGTAGTGCGACATGGTGATTCTCTGAAAACTATCCAAGGACGATTCTCGACGGCGAATTAGTGGGCATTAAAACTCGGAGCGAGTCCGAGTTCCTTACGCTCTTCCGGAAAGTTTCGGGAAATTAAAATTCTCTTACCGGTTGTGTTTCTCGCGCCAACGAATCTTAGGAGAGTGAATGAAGCGGGGGAGGATTTGTAATTAAGTGAGAACGGATTGCGTACGAGAGAGCGAGCGCGGGTGTGAAAGTGACGACGACGACGACTATTATAATGATATCCGCAGAATGTATATACGTGTACATAGCTAGGCCATTGTCGTTTCATCGAATCATTATCGTTTTACGACGACGCGATACGATTAATTTATATTTCATCGATTACGTTTTCATAGTATAATTGCGACCGCTGCGGGATCGTGCAATATCGTCAAAGCTGCGCGACGATCACAGCTTCCTTTCTCTCTGTAAATACATATATCTTCCACGTTGCGCGTTCAGTTTCCCTTTTCGATCCGCGAACATTTCCTTCTCTCTAAAAAAAAATATATATATATATAAATTTAAAAAATACCTCTCGGTCTGTGAAGGAATCCGGCTTTGCGCTTTCGGTGAGATATTCGCAGCGACCCTGAATTATCTCGAAAGATCGGCAGCGAGAGGCTGTCGCGTGCGGTCACGTTCGGGTCAAACCGACGATAAAATCGAATGGGATTCGATTCGCGTGAGGTGAAAGAGTCTCGCCCGCCGCGGGGGGAGGAGCGTGACAGAGAAAAGGCTCTCGCAAGTATTCAACGAACGAATGAGCGAACGTGCCGGCATCGAAGATCTTACATCGAAATTTCCGCTAAAGAAACGAAAGCTCGGGAAACGAAGGTGATTTCGCGAGGGGCACTGGAAGTATCGTCGCCGGCGAGAGAAGTTTATCCGTTTTCTTTTCTTTTTTCTTTTTTTTTTTTTTTCGATCTTTTTGTAAACCGGCGACGATCACTCTGTGCGCGTTTCCGAAAATGATTTCCGATATACATATCTACCGATCTATTGTTATCGTAGTTTTTGACCGAGTCGAAGTAAAAAGTGTATTTCAAAATATGACACAGATGGACTTTTTCTTCAAATTTCCCTCACCCATCTTTAATCTTGGAGTTTTTTCATTTAAACAAGACATTTGTTTTTCTGTTTTAATTAATCATTTACTATTTTAATTTATCAATTATACATAATTACGATATAAGTCTTTGTCGAACCGAGGAAAATATCGGAGCTGTCAAGCAACCGATAGCTAAACTATCTCGCCTCTCTTCGCTTAGATATTCCTTCTCGATGCCTACAATAATCAAAATTGACAAAATATATTGACGTTCGAAGGTTTATTGCCACAAAATTGCATCGTCATAGAAGTCATACGCTATTTGATATACTTAACTCGATGTACTAAATATGAAACGTGCCTTCATTATATACGTACATGTGACTTGGCCCGAGGCAGACGCGAATTTCCCTCCCGAGACTAGGTTTAATTAAATCTTTTGCAAATTTGCATATACGCACTTCCGTCAGTGAGAATGCTTTAGAACCCTCGGCGTTACCGAGACCCCTGTAGAGATTCGTTTCCACCTATCTATGTAGATCTGCCGCTGGTTCTCCCGAAATGATGATAATAATCTACGCAAAGCAGGCTGGAAAAGTCCAGTGAGTGGAAAAACCATGATAAATTCCGGTTTTTACTGTAACCATGATAAATTCCGGTTTTTACTGTACTGAATTTTGTTCAACGAAATAAAATAAACAATAAAATTATAAAAATTATAAAAATGATTAAAATACAACATATAATTTAATAACACTGTTTAAAATATATTTGAAAACTTTACAGATATTTTTTGTTTTATTGAATTTTGTTTTATTTTAATAAATTATACTAATTACTATAATTTAAAAAAAAACGAAATAACATATGATATAAGAATAAAATCTTTCTTGATTTAAATTAATATATAAAGCGTACATCTTCGAAATGAAAACTTTAGAGATGTAAATATTACTAAATCTGCTATTAATTTTTACGTTAATGACAAAAATATCATAGTAATAGAATTAAAAATTTTTTACCAATGTAGATCTGGTTCGTGTTTACCATTGGAAGGTCAAAGGATGCGACTTTGGCGAAGTTTGATGTGGATTATGAAGCGGGGCTGCGTAATGTAAGTACATACTTTTCTCATTCGATAACCGAGTCGACGCGCACGGGCCGGTGTTTATCGCTGTTGCACACAGCGAGGTAGAGAACGACGGGCAGGACCTGATGGACATATGGTGGTTCGCGTCGGGCGGACCGGCGGGAGAGGGACGAAGGGCGGTGAAGGGTACCGACTCGTCGTTTATACGCGGTGCCGGCATAATGGAGTAGAGTGGAGTAGAGCACGGATAATGGAGTATGAAGAATAGCGTGCGGTGAATGTCGGGATAGGGTCCCCCTCGCCCTTCCGCCCCCCCCGCGGCGGCTCTTCGTCTCTCCCCCGCTCCCCTGTCCTGCCCCTAGTCTCCCTTTCACCCCCGCGAGGACACCCGCCCTCTACCTCCGAGGGGCGGCAAACTGGACACGGCTCGTTGACTCGGGCGCGCAGTTGGCCATACCGATTTATCGTCCCCGCAGCCAGGCCGCGTTACAGATTCCGCGTTAAATCCACGATTCTGTTTTGCGTTTTGCTCGTAGCGTGATTCCTTTCGCGCTTTTTTCCCTCTTGCGTTTGGCGTCGCAACGCGATATATATCGCGCTTCTTCGAACAAAGGAGAACCGGGGCGAATCTCGAGTGTCGAGTGCTTTTGTCGCGTTTCCTGCGTAATGAAGAACAATCATTTGCTGTAATGTAATTTATAACGCGGTTGACCTAGCTTCTCGATGGGAAAAAAATGAAATGTGGAGGAGCAGCAGTAAGAGAATCGGATGTGCTGTAAATTTTATTTGCAATGTACAAAGTAGTTTATAAGGGAATCCGTAGAGTCATATAACTTGAAAGTCGATACATACGAATATTCAATTTTTATTTTTTTAATAAAAGTAAAAGAGGCTCCTATCTAAATAAAGCCGGTTTTCGATCCGCTTATACTCGGCTTGGATAATTTACGATCAGTATTTAGTCTACTTATTCTTCGTACGTATATTGATTCAATTTAATTGACGCATTATTTAATCATCATATTAATAAAACGATTACGAAAAAACGCAATCTCTGCTGATATCGGCGTGTAAAAATTAGGGACGACGAAAATTAAACGCGAAGAAAAAATGCCCCAGAGCCCCACATATCGGTCGGATCGAATGCGTTGTACACACCTACGCACATCTCCCACATCTTTTCTACGCATCGAGCGCACGTGGCGTTCCCCGTAAACGTTCGCTTTGGTCGTCGGCCGCGGGGGGCGGGGGAGGGGTGTTGCGGGGATGGTTTCGGAGGTGGCAGCGAGGGGATCGCGGTGACGGGGCGAATGGTCGTTACACGCACCGGTCACTGCCAACCCCCGTGGCTATCGCCGACACGACTCCCCCTTCTCCCCCATGCAAAATCACCCTTTGTCGCGCTCGATGGGAAATTACTTTTTGTCCGTCGATTACGGGGTGAATTTTCGGACGAGACCCGATCATTTCGAACGAGATGCGGCTCCGGTTCGAGATATCGCCGGAAATCGCAGCCTCGTTCTTATTTTATTTTCCTTCTCTTTACCGCGATTGCTAAAACAAGCAAATTATAATTTTCTTCAATCTCATTATTACGAGATTGTTCGTAATTTTGGAAACGCGAATATACAATTTATCGGATTTGTTGAAATCTCCTCAAGATTTTAATTTATACACAAGTATAAACGCAATTCTTATACCGTAAGAAAATCGTGCGTTAGACAGAGAGCACGATATTAAATTCCACGGCGATTCGTGCATCGCATGGCGATGTCTGGAAATAAGAGAGAGACTTGACGAAGTGTGCCCGCGGGGCCGCCAGTCCTTGATTACCAAGATCTTCATCTACATGCTAAACATCGTTCCACGGTACCGTCTTGAATACTCTTGTACTTACGTATGTATCTAGATCCACGGCCCGCGGATCCCATCCCCCAACCCTCGCACGCCTACTCTCTCGTATAGCGCCTGAATATATATTCCACCCTCCTCGATCTCCCTGACACCGCGTGAAACACATTCCCGTACCATCTATATGATGTTTGCTTAGATTAAATTAACCGACCGTGAAGCCGTCCTTTGTTCTTCGTGCGGCGCGGCGGAAACGCAGACACGCCGAAAGGAACGGAAAAAGGGAAAAGGCTCGGACGGAGATTCCGGGGGTCTCTCGCAGATGTTCAGATTGCGAGGTAAAATTGCACTCGCGGCAATTCGATATTTAAATACAACGATATTTAAATACAACGACGTTAATAATAGTTCTATAGCGAATCGCAGACGAATTGCAAACGAATACATCCTTTGGATATTATAAATGCAGGAAAGAAAAAAAATTCCGGACAGGACGTGTGATATTTTTTTTTATTATATAAAGATATTAAAATTCCTTAGAGAAGGCGCCATCTTTCTCGATGGAAACTAAACGTACCAGCGGTTTCTTAAAAGGCGCTTGCCGGCGGCGCAACTTCTTTAAGAAAATTTCCTTATTCTTTCTTTCTTACCGACTCGTTTCACCCCCATATCAATAGCCGTTCACCCCCATAATCTTACGTCGATTCAGTAGCAAATATATAAACTAAAAATGTATATTTTTGAAAGCGATAGTCTTTACATCGCTTCTTTTTCCCCTCTGAATTTTTAGATATTTTTCGAAATTAAAAAATGCGAGAGTTTTCGAGGAAAAAAATATTTTCATGTTTTCTTTTTCCGATCAAATATTAAAAGAATAGTATCTGAAAGTTATTAAATAAAAAATAACTTGCTAAAAAATTGTATTCCATTTGTAGTAATTAATCTTTTGCATTTTTTAAAACTCGTTCTTTACCGACCTCTTTGCAAGCTACCTTACCTTACCGCGAGGGTGACGTTTTCTTAGAACTGAAGAAGGGTGCGAGAAAGAGAAGAGGGTGAGTCTTCTTAAATGTCTTTACTGTCTTTCTCGTACGAGGGCGACACTAGTATCGCCTTAAGAAAAAAGATTAAGACGCTGAAAGTTTATTTTAATTAATAAGTATAGCTTATTAACAACAGTTTACAAAGTTTAATTTGTAACAAGTTATAGCGCGAATTCTTTCATCTATTGATGTGTCGAATGGTCCCATTAACTTGTTCAAAAGACCTAGAGTTTTTTATACTTGTTTGTAGAGTTTTTGTAGTTGTTTTATTCTATTCGCGAATAATGCATCTAATCTTTTACTTTTGATTATTTTATGGGAAATTGGAAAAAATGTGTTTGACTTGCTTGAATTACAAATATTTCTTCATAAAAATCTTTTTCAAGCAAGTATATTAAAACACCACTACATGTAAAACATTAATGAATTCTTAATGTCTCTTTTCAAAAAGGAAATGTTTTTCATATTTATTTTCTAAAAAAATGAAAAGGGAGAAAGAAAATATACATCTTATATCGAATTTTACATTCGCAGTTAGTAATTTTATTAATTCTCTAAAAAAACTAATTCGCTGTCTGTCCTTTCGCCGAGTCTTCGCGTGTGAATCACGAGCTTCTCGGCGTCGGGCGATCGTCGGTTCGGTCGGTTAGCCATTTCTCTGGGTTCGATCTGCCGACTCTGAAGAACCTGGTCAAACGCGCTGGAGAAATATGCGAGCCCGACCTGAAGCAGTAGAGAGAGATCTCGGAGTATCTTGGCCGGGTCTCGCCGGTAGCTAGGCAACCCACCCCCAGGGCCCACCATCTCCTCCTTCTCCTCACCTCTGTACTCTCGCTCTCTACCCCTTGCCACCTTTTCCTCCACGAGACTCTGTGCTTCCTCCACCTCCTCTTCCTTCGTTCTCTTCCTTCTCCATCTCCTCCTTCTCCAACAACCTCCGCCACTACCACCTCGACCACCGATCCTCTTTCAAAATCCCTCCTCTGCTTCCTCGACCACCCTCCCTCACCCCTTTCCCCCAAAC